TAAGCCAACAACTCCTGCAATAGACTGTGTTTCAGAAACTGGTTTTTTCTGTCTTGTTCATCAATGTTCAGCACATTTTTATTGTTCCTTCTTGAAGTGGTTGTTGCATTATTTCTCTGGCAGGCCAAACTTCAGACTACAAGCTCTTTAGTTAAGGTCTTATTACTTGAATTTGAGTAAAACATTTGCATAAAAGGGCATAAACCACTTTACTGCTCCTTAGGTACACGGAAATATTGAGAGTAAATGGTAGTTGCTCTTCTGTGTACATGTAAGGACGGAGCCCCCGGTGGTGTAGAGGAAAACACACTGCACTGTCACTGCAGAGACCCGGGTTCGATTCCCGGTCGGGGCCCCTCCCCAGGCAAATGGAGCTCGTTAGCCCTGTAAGGCAATCCATCTACGTCCTGAGGACCTCGCTGCCACCGTCCAAGCGTGCTTGGCCCCGGCAGATGAACCTCAGGATTAAAGGGTGGGCTCAGTTCCGCGCACACTGTGTCTCACCTAAAAAATCCAATGCGCAGGCTGGAAGGTGTAAAAGACCTTCCCCGGTTCTTCGTTCGCGAAGAGACTGGCCATTACATGTAAGGACCAAAGCAACTGGTTCAGAAGGATTGTGTTTCTCTTGGTGCAGTCAGGGTGACTAAAAGGTTAAAATCTCTTCACTGGGATTGAAGTTGATGTAGTTCTTGAAAACCTTTCTCTTACCCTTACGGGGTTGAGGCATTTAGTGATGCTACAGTTGTCCTGTTTTCTGTAACTTATACCAAGCCTTATATACACTACTCTTTCATATATTCTGGGTGATAGGCAACGTATCTGTTACTCTGAAATATCAGTGAAGGAGTTTACTTCTCTCAGAAGTTAAAGTGCCAATAGTACACATACTTCACACGTGCTGGGTAAAATCAATAGACTAAATTAAACTCAGATTTTCAATTCTTCCTTTCAGACAAATATTTCATGTTTTGGACCTGATGAAAGTGGATATGGCAAACTACACAA